ATACAGTGACCAAATATGCGTAGATACAGCAGAATAATGCAAAAGGGTGGCTTACATAGTTTCATGCGAAAAGTAAGTTGCAGTCTGCCAGTCGAAGAAATTAAATATAACGACTACTCCTTTATTACTAGTAGTATATACGTTTAATTATTAAATCGAACAAGGTGCCTAGGCACGTTGGCGATGCCAATGAATACGAGCCAGTAGGTGCATTTTTTACACAACAAGAGGATAAAGGGGACAGCAGTTAGGTTGCAGTTCTCACCGCCTAGACCTCCGTTCCACCCACCCAATTATACTCCACTTGCTGCGGGGCGGTGGGGGGGGCTATAAGTTCCACATCAGTAAGTAATATCACCTTGCCAAGAACGTGAAAAATTGTTGCAACTGAATAAAACTTAAGTTTAAAAGACGTTAGAAATTCGGATGCCTGATCATTTTTTTTAATACTTTCACTTCCTTACAAATTGGTGATACGGTTTCTTCTACGAAAGAAAGAATTCACTTTCCTCTTTACACAGGAGCATTCTTGGTTATATTGTTTTCCTTTTAAGCTGCGTCTTAAGGTGGTTACTGCGCAACACAGTGGGCTTATAAATGCGAAGGTATTACGAGAAGTTCTGGTCTCATTTCGTTCCAAAATTACGCGTCGACGAAAGCTAAATAATACCAAATGTTTCTTACAGCATGCTTCAAATTGGGCATAGTCGTTTGTGGAGGATCGATTCCCGAATGCCCTTGGGATGTTTAAAAGATGGGATTGCCAGTGAACACGTTAAGGATGACCCTCCTCCTTTCTTGTATGGCCGCCCACAGAGACCTAAAAACATGAAGGCATCAAAATACGGATTGACCAACCGACACCACTAATGTATAAAGCGCAGCCAAAACACCAATCACAAAACTCAGGGACACATCGTTATAGTTGTGATTAAAACGCTCAATTTCATCTTCTAATGCTTCGTAGGAGGCAAATTTTTGCCCGTATAAAAAATTTGAAAAAGTCAATAATAGAATGATGAAGTCGGTTATAAGTCGATAAATAAAACCGTAATAATAAAAAAATACATAAATAAAACGATTATAAACAATAATAAAAATTATATAGAAATATATAATAAATATATATTTAAAATAATATAACGGTAAAAACAATAGTAAAAAGGATTAATAATAACCATAAAAAGACCGTAAGCGAAAAACTATCTGTAAAACAGTAATAACCAATAATATAATAATAGAAACAAAATGTATAAAACACGATGTAGAAACGACAAGAACACACACTTCGAAAAAGAAATCAATAAATGATTGCCATCGACTGGCAGTTCACTGCTTAAAATGCGATTATTGTGTAAGTTTAGGCTAATTGCTCATTCCGATGCGGCTTTCTCCCTAAAG